CCATCGTAAGAGTTGCCATTGTAAAGAAAAAGATACTTGCTTTCTGAAAAGATGATCGTTTAACAGCCAAAAAGTGTTGACCACGCCCATACAAACAAAAAAGCCCCTCTATATTTCCCGTCTGTTCCTGTTAAAACTTTGTACAGATTTTCATTTTGAACAACCAAAACTAATTATGGACGTCAATTCGAATGAAAAATGGAATGCGTTACCTGTAATTTGACATACTAGTCAAATGATCGGCCATTGTCAGGAAACAATGGCTGACGGTACGGCAGTTTTCTCCCCTATCATATTTACCCGCAATGGCGTTTTGGTAATAGGGCTTAAACAAGAAGATTAACTCCTCAATTGATACGGCTTAGCACTTTAATTGTTCGGTGAGAAGGAGGAAAGTCGTTATCTATGTGTTTCAATTATTACACAATCCTCACAGACACCGTCTCCGAATGACATTTTCCTGAACTTCACAATCGATCTTGACAAACCATCGGAAGCTTTTTAAAAGTGACAAATTAGATTCTTAAATACTAAATGTTTGAAAAATTGCGATTGACAGATAATTTTAGTAACCCCTGATTTAGGTTAGCATTTTCATTCAACCGTTTTAAAATCAGATAAGTACTCCAATCTTTTTTTTAATAAATTGCACAAATTTTGATTCATATTTGTTTTTAGTCATAGAATTTTAAAATATTTGGTCATTTCCTACTATATTTAAGTTTTAGTTGTTATTTAATTTTTTTTTATGAATTTTGGTACAACTTTTATTCATAAATAGACTGAATTTCTATAAACATTGATCTCTAAACTATTTAAAAAATCATAAAAGAATAAAATCATGAGTAAAAGAACTTTAGGCCTAATTCCTAATGCCACAATTTACAGTTTTTATTGATGTACAATGTACACATTAATGAAATATATTAAATAATGCTTAAGTACTTTGTTTCCTACTGCCACAAAGTATTCTTACTGATGTATGTTATGGAGTTTTACTGGTATATGTCAGATAAAGTTTTAGTGCTTACTTATGCCACAGTGTACTGTTGTTATTAATGTGTGCAATGTGTATGTTTGCTAAAGCTTAATTACTCCTTTTTCTGATGTTCAAGGTGTATAAGAGCAATGATCGGTCAAAAAAAATGTAAACAAAACAAATATGTGAGGAAGACATAAAAAAAGACCCCTAGAAATCGTAAAGGTGGGATCAGGTGCCTAGAAGGAGAAAACATCAACTGAAGACCATTCAAACCGGCCCTGAGCCCTATATATTGAGCAGGTATAGACGAAACATTCCTTAGACAACTGGAGTTTAAAACAAAGGCCATACATTTGGTATTAAACAAGTCAGACAAAATACGACCCAATGATAAGTCATATTTGCTAAGAAGGTCATTCTATCGACCAGAGAATATGCGAAATGCCGACTACAAACGAAGTTGTTGAAATCCTTGTAACATCAACTTATCAATGAGTAGCATGTCTTGCTTTAAAAGTTAATTGTACTCTGAGCAACCTGCTGCGTAGCAAATAAGTTCGGAGACATAATCACTATTATCAGGTGATTGTACATGTCTTAATGTTTTATTGTTTTTGTTATATGATATGTAAAAAAAAATGCTAGATTAACCCTTGGTTTTCAGTTAAAGATTGTAAGGCCCTTTCTTTCGTTTCTATCAAACAATATTCAAAATAGAAATCAATAAAACTGGATAAACTCGATGAGAAAAAGAAACCATCGAAATTGAAAGGGAAAGTATATCTCATCACTTCCATTGCATTCATGTTTATCATTTTTCACAAAAGGAGTATCATCTATGCATATATGCAATTAAACATTGAGCTTGTCTGCCTTTGAAATAATCTTCGGTGCCAGTGCATTTTTTCTTCAAGTTTTTTACTCGCCTTTTCACTATATCATCTTACATTATTGTAAGCCAGAACTCAAGCATGCACAAGCTTACTCCTAATTAAATTTTCATGTAAAGAACTGTTCATCAGTAAATATTTTTTCGTGAATAATAAACAAATATTAAAAAGGAACAATAATGACCATTTTATGTATCCAGTTACAAGATTTTTTAAGGAAAAAGTGAATAATTGCATTCTGTCACTCAAAAGAAAGCAGTGGGATAAATAAAGAAAGAAGAATAGAGTAAAATGAAGATAATTTTTATCAAAACAATTTATCTTGACAAAGCAGATTGAGGGGACACCCAACAATACGATGTTAAAATTACCCCGTGTCAAGAGAACAAGAGACGAATCCTTTTAGACAATAGAGGGGTATGATGCAGGGTGATATGTTAGCGGGCCTACGGTTAAAGTTTACTGTTATATGCCATCTGACCCATGGAGTATCGGGCATCCATAGTAAGGCGGATAAAGTAATGAATGGATAGAGTCAGATTGCTCTGCTCATCCGAGATACTGGGAAACTGACAACTGAGAGACTTCTGTCAGATAAGAAATGGAGAAAGATGAATGGATTTAAAATTGTTGTTATATGTGGAAACATGTAGAAGAAAAAATACATTCGACTATAATTTTACTCCTTGATTGTTATAATTTTGTTGCAAACTAAGTGCTATGCTTTAGTAATTCATAATCACAACATTTTAAAGTTTTTAAAAAAAAATCATCAAAAAGAAGATAAAGTTTAATAATGTGTCATTACGTAAAGAAGAGTAATATGTATAAAATTAAGAAATATTGATCATGGGCGAAACAAGCATTTTATTTCCATTTCATTTATGTTGCGAATCCTTCAGACAACATTTGTTTTGGTAAAACTAATACTGTATTGAATGTTTCAAAAAACTGTATGTAATTGGACTATACTATATAGTTTTACTTTACATATTAATGGACTATTACGTGTATTAATGAGTATATTACACTTTATTGGACGATTTAGTGTTTTAGTATATACATCTTAATCTTATAGGACTATTTAGTATTTCAGTATATACATCTTCATCTTATTGGACTATTTAGTGTTTTAGTATATATATCTTAATCTTATAGGACTATTTAGTGTTTAAGTATATACATCTTCATCTTATAGAACTATTTAGTGTTTCAGTATATACATCTTAATCTTATTGAACTATTTAGTGTTTCAGTATGTACATCTTAATCTTATAGGACTATTTAGTATTTCAGTATATACATCTTCATCTTATTGGACTATTTAGTGTTTTAGTATATATATCTTAATCTTATAGGACTATTTAGTGTTTAAGTATATACATCTTAATCTTATAGGACTATTTAGTGTTTCAGTACATATATCTTAATCTTATTGGACTATTTAGTGTTTTAGTACATACATCTTAATCTTATAGGACTATTTAGTGTTTCAGTACATACATCTTAATCTTATTGGACTATTTAGTGTTTTAGTATGTACATCTTAATCTTATTGGACTATTTAGTGTTTTAGTATATACATCTTAATCTTATTGGACTATTTAGTGTTTCAGTATAAATATCTTAATCTTATTGGACTATTTAGTGTTTTAGTATGTACCTCTTAATCTTATTGGACTATTTAGTGTTTTAGTATGTACATCTTAATCTTATTGGACTATTTAGTGTTTCAGTACATACATCTTAATCTTATTGGACTATTTAATGTTTCAGTATATACATCTTAATCTTATTGGACTATTTAGTGTTTCAGTATAAATATCTTAATCTTATTGGACTATTCAGTGTTTCAGTATAAATATCTTAATCTTATTGGACTATTTAGTGTTTCAGTAAAAATATCTTAATCTTATTGGACTATTTAGTGTTTCAGTATAAATATCTTAATCTTATTGGACTATTTAGTGTTTCAGTATACATATCTTAATCTTACTGGACTATTTAGTGTTTCAGTATATATATCTTTATCTTATTGGACTATTTAGTGTTTTAGAATACATACTACACCTTATAAGACCCATTAAGTGTATCTAGTCATACATGTACACCTCACTGGATTTTTTAGTTTATCAGGGTATACATTACATAACATCTTATAGGATTATTTAGTATTTCAGGATATACATTATATCTTACGGAACTATTAAATAGATCAGGATTTAAATAATACCTTATTGGACTATTTAGTTTATCAAGATTCTTTCAGTTAGATATATAACATGCCTTTAAAGTGACTTAACTGCGCATGTCAGTAGTTCTTAATCGAGTTCAAAGTTTTTCTACTCTCCTCGTTTACTATTTATCCTAATAATTGTACTTTGATTAATTCTATATTAAAATGAATCTAATTTAAAAGTAATATATTTTACTTATGAACTCTTTTTCTTATGTAAAGAATTTTTTAAATCACTTGTTTTCAACTTATAAGGAATACAAAAGCATTAAAAATTCACAAAGCAAGTCATCAATACGTCTGAGGTTTTTAGTTTTAAAGACAATATTTTTAAAATATTATTTTCAATTCTGTATGTATATCAAAGCTGATACATGTAAAATCATTTACCATGTAATACTAGTATTTCATTTAAAATATTTAATTGAAAAGTTTATTCATATTCATTGAAAGGTATTCAAAACTTTTACACTGCCAGGATACTTTTATGTGAGAGAGTTGTTTAAAAGTGTGTAACCATTTGACTTAATTAAGTTATAAATTTCTGATTTGATTCCATGAGCTTATTTTTTATATAATTGTTTAAATACCTAAAATACTGTTAGCTACCTTTCAAATTTTGGATTGGGGGTGGAATGATTTTCATGAATTTGAATTCACTAAAGTCTTGTTCTTTTTATACATTGTTGTCAAATACACAGGTAGGGCACTGTTACCTTTAAGAGACACAGGTGTACCTAAACTCGTCACAGGTGGTTGAGTCGGACACGTTTCGATGATCACCATCCCGTGGCGATTACTGATGTACAGTTATGTGGATACCCGTCCATCACCTGAAGAGGCGGGTCGAGGGTAGACACTGTATAAAACTTGAAAGATACCCTCTCACTTTCCATATATCATCTTTGAAGTTATATATTGCATATTGTCTCAAAAATTGCTACATTTTCACTAGATATTTACTTGTCTTTGGTGTTTTTGTGGACTTTTAAACTTGGCTATGCCAAAATCATTTTTAGTTCGTGGTCAGCATAGACCAAAGACTACCCAAGATGTCCAAGAAGCACAGCTTGATCAAAAGAATCCGTCCAGCGAAAGACTCTTGGACAAAAAAGGTAGGATTGTTTCATTTCTATCTCAATTTACTCTAATCAGACTGTTTTTATAGATGTATATTTTTACAGCACTTTTGAGTAAATTTTGTTTTTTAGTCATTTCAAACTTTGAATTTTTTTAAACATACAATTTCCGGTCCTTATTTTCTAAAAGATTTCCCTCAAGTGATGCGTTTTAATTATCCTTAGTGCTGTGTCTAGCTCAAAAACATCAGGGGGTACGAAAAAAAGATTGAACAAACAAAAAGACACTTGGGATAAAATTTCAAGATGCCCTGGAAGTTAATCTCATAGGATTGTAATGAAAGCTCTTTTTGTATATTACAAAGAAACACTTTCTCTCACTGTTACCCGTTCAAACCACGAGACATCTCCCCTGTATAAACAGCGTGTCACAATTTCTGTTTCAATGGGATGAGGTGATAGAGAAATCAGAGTAAATAGCCCCCGGCCCTGGGCCGTTATATGCGTGTAGTGTATTGGACAGGAATTTAAATTACAAGTATTGAGCAAGCTATGGAGATTATTTTTCTTTAGAATAGTGGGAGGGTTGCGGAGAACGATCATGAAATTTTCAATTTATTGTGGATGAACCCACAAATGTTACCGCATTAAATATTTTGATAAGTGAAATATGGCTTTATCGAATATTATCTTTCATTTTCAAAATTTCAAAATAAGATACTTACCTACGCCTATTGAAAAGCTTTGTTTCTTCGTCTGGTTATTCAAGTTCATCTGTAAAGCCCATGCACTTTTTAAGCGCACTTCTTTATCTTGCAATTTTTCTAATTAATTCATGTCAACTGACTTTATATTATTGATGTTCTGGTTGTCGTGACACAAGAATTTTTTTTTATCTTTGCAGAATATTCTTACTTGAAGGATACTGATGAAGTAGATGGCGCTGAAAATTTGCAAAAAAGAAAACATGAAGAAGCCAAAACCAAAGACCAGGATATACGAAAAACTCCCTTGTTTCTACCTTTACCATTTGAACATAAAATGTACAATTTAATGCTTCATTCTCCAGGAAGTGAAAAATTTGGATTTAATAACATCTCGTCACCTCTACCCTACCATTCCTTCCGGTATCAGGAACTATGTTCCCCAACGTCCCCTGTTGCTCCTCCGCTCATTCCGAGCCCGACTCATATAATCGACTCAGGCTTTCCAAATCGTGCAAGCTCAAATTCAGCAAAATCAACGACGGAACATCAATCTAGAGACCAATTAGACGGCGTTAATAACTTTCTCAATCCTCCCGTTTCAATGCTCAAGGTTAGAAAATTGCTCCTAAGTGAAATTCTTAATTGCCTACAGAATATTATTCATTAAAACCACTTTTTCGATTTCAAAACCATGTTAAAGTATACATAAGCGTTTTAATAATATTAGATCTATCAAATGAGTGTTTCTATTTGATATTTCAGCATTCAGTGGTGCATGGGGTAGAACTTATTAATGGTGGCTTTGGAATGAAAAACCCCATCATTGCTCATGCTCAAGACCAGAAAATACCTAGTTTTCATGACAAAACATGTAAGCTTATCAAATATTACCATTAAATACCTTTTGGTAAAATACATACTTTTTTGATAGATTATTTTCCCCCTTGTTTGACTGAGTACTTTTTACTTTCACAGCTACAGACGGTCAGAATTTTACTTGTAATATCTGTAACAAGTCCTTCCCACTCCAAAGGTTGCTGAATCGCCATCTGAAATGCCACAGTGAAATCAAAAGATATCTCTGCACCATATGCGGCAAAGGTTTCAACGACACATTCGATCTCAAACGTCACACAAGAACTCATACTGGTAAGTTTACTTTAACGTTTTATGTAAGTAAATAAAAGTACCACGTCATGTCCTGTAATTGGCGCCAAAAACTCTTTACCTAACATGTCTTCTCTGTTTTCTGACCAGGAGTGAGACCATACAAGTGCAGTACTTGCGGTAAGGCATTTACTCAGCGCTGTTCCTTAGAGTCACATGGGCGGAAGGTTCATGGATTTGAATTTTCTTACGCTTATAAGGAACGCCGTAACAAACTTTACGTATGTGAGGACTGTGGACACACAACTTCAGATCCAGGGCAACACTTTGTTCACTTAAAACACTTTCACCCGCAGAACCCCGTTCTTCTCAAATTCTACGATAAAAGGCAGTTCAAATTTTCTGAAATGGGCAATAACTCAGAAGAAATCATGGACCTCTCTGTCAACAAAAGGTGACGTCGTGCCTGGTATAATGAAGTGTTAGCAAATGCATAATATACCATACCAAAAATGTATTTTGTTTTGTTTTTACATGATTATATTTTTACATGTTTTGTAAATATAAGTGCTATGGGGGTTATACATGAATATACATGTTTCACTATTTTTGGACATGGTGCAATACTAGAGGCGGGCCATTCACATGCAATATACATTATCACCTGTCTGTATCATCTGTGATTATTATATTTATGCAACTTAAATGTATCCAAATATTTTGAATGATGTATTTGATGAAATACACTGAAATAAAAATTATATTGGTTCTTCTCTTATGTTATACTAGTTGAAACATCAAGGCATAAATGACATTTTTAACCGCGTTAAATTTTAAAAGATTTTTTTATGAATATATAAATTTTATTTATATTTTTTTCCAAAAAAAAAATCACATGTCGTCGGTCCTTAATTTTAAACGAAAATTTATGTTAACAGCAGTAGATTTAATTCAAAAACTTGCAAATACACCTTGATTTTTTTTTAAATTAACATTCTAAGATAGATAGTCACCGCGTTTCTTATGAAAAATATTAATTATATTTACATTGCCAAGGAGTTAAATCATAACCAAAAGTTCAATATTTGTTAAAAATGTATCCTGCACATATAAAATAGAAGAGAAATATGAATACACCTCGTAGTTAATGTTTAGTGTGTGGGGATTGTTTTGTTTGTTTGCACGAAAGCGTAGCCAAAAATTATCTCTTCATTCAAAATCCTATAAAAACAGGTAGAATTTTTAGTCATAAAATGCAGTTCAATTGCAATAAAAGTTTACGCTTTTTTCTTTAATTGATTATAATTGATTGAGTCATTTTGTGATTTTTATGTTTAATGTTTGTTGTCTGTTCCCGTGATAAGATCGGAGGACCTGCTTTATCATTGCTATCACAATAGATCCATTTCTGTCATGCACAAAGAATCACCTTAATTTTTCTTGTTGAATGTTATGTTCCGTTTACTGCATTTTAATTTCACCATTAAAATCGATCAATGATGATTAATTTCTCACCAAAATATTTACTGCTACGAAGGAGAAACTTAAGACGTTCATGTATTATGATAAAATTTATTCAAGAAAAGGTGAAATTCAAATTTGGAATCTAAAAAAACTCCCCCAAAAATCAAATAAAAAATAAATATCTCAAAAATTTTCATACATCAATTGCAAAACAATAAAACATGAAATTAAAGGTTTTTAAAAGTATTTTCACAAGAAATTAAATGGGTTTTTTGACATAATATACAACTGCTTTTGTAATAATGATGGAAAACATAATTTAAATTTTCACATCTTGAGATCGATAATCTACAAAGAAGAAGGTATGGTTTCCATACAAATTTTGCCCTGTGATTTTCTAAAAAATGAAACTGGTGTAAAAGTTGAAAACTCATGCTTTTTAAATAATTGAAATTCAATGCAGGAAAACTAAGTCATTTTTCTCACATGTGTTTTTAAATGCTAATTATGACATCAGAAACATGTGCATTTTCCCTTATTTTCTTAAAAAGTTGCAGAAGACACCAATTTTCAATGGAATTTTCTTTCAGATAACATTGTCCACAGGCATCGCCCACAAAGATTTTGAGATATGTTATTGAATTTTGCACAGAATATCCAAAAATTAACGTGGGCGACGGCTGTGGACACTGTTTTCTAAAGGAAAATCACCCTTGAAATGTGCCATTTTGAGGCTTTTTCTGTTGAAAATAGAGAAATGCTTCATATTAATGACGTCATATTTGCAGAATGGTAAACCTCCATGCCATATTCTTTCTTGATTTATCAGTGTCATTTATTTAACTAATATTTAAGTCAGTTTCAAAACTTTTTGATGTCGTTACATTTTTAGGGCGCAATAAAGCTAAAACCATACCTTCTTATTACTCTTTTAAAAGCATTTTAATTCTACATACATGTATATGTGTTCTAGAATTATCAAAATATACTGGATTTCCTCTTTTACAATATCAATATATAGTATTTGGAGACCAGATCTTACAATAAACTGTTGGAATTCCAATGGGTATTAATGGTATTCCTTTGTTAGCCGACCTGCTTTTAAATTATAAATTTTATGAAGCATAATTTTTTTTCAAAAAAATCTCAACATGAGAAGAAAACTCCTTCTGTGGCATTCAACTCAACAGATATATCAAAGGCGACTCAAAAGCTACTTGCATTCATATGTTCCCTGGATTCCGGTGAAGTCAAAATGAAGTCAACTTTATGACATACAATAGCATCAGCTTTTTCATCGCCAACTTCCCTTATTTATTAAGCCTTTATCCAATATCAAACACCTGGTGTTTTTGTCTCCCAACTAATTCAATATCCAGGTCATGCTCTGGATACGATAATTTTTTTAAAATCGAAGTTAGTTACTGATCAATAAGTTGATGTTACAAAGATTTCAATAATCCTTTGTTAAAGCCAGCTTTTATAAAATCTTATGGTGGTTATAATGATTTATAGTTTGTATATGAATACAACCTATCGTTGAGTCGTATTCTATTTGAAATCTTACACTTTTATAGGGTCATTACTTTTATACAAAATTTTACTATGTTCAATACTCAGTCTATACTTGATCAATACGTAGTGCACGTGGCGGTTATGAGCGGTCGACAGCGCATGGTTACTCCTCCTGAGTACCTGATACCACCCCCAGTGTTCTCTGAGGTCCGTGCTTTTGCCCTGTTAACGATTTGCTTTGTTTACAGGATTAAATGAGATTGAACAGTGTCATCTTCACCTCGTACATCGCAGGGAAGAATATAACAAAAGGATTTTTTTCAACAACATGTAAAAATAAATTTTTATTTATTAAGTTATTGGTTTTTTATGCTCCTGGAAATAGAAGATCATAGAAATGAAATATGGAGAATATGGAATGTAATCAAGCGCAGAAGTCGAGTAAAACAATACAAATCTAGAGCAGAGCAAACATGGACCTCTAAAACATCAGGTGGGATCAGGTGCCATGGAGGAGTGAGCATCCCCTGCCGACCGGTCACAGCTGCCATGTACTCCTTGTCATGTTCGGGAAAACGGAAATATCCGTAGACAATTTAATGATAAATATTAGTTACTTTTTTATCTTTCAAATTTCGCCATATATCTACATGTAGTATATACGAGGGTTGATCCGAAAGTAATGTCACAGTGTCCATATCTTTTACATTTGGCGTCATATTATCAAATACAATATACCAAAAGATGTACAAATATAAATCTAATTAACATTGAAATGTAAATTAAAAAAATTTCATTTGAATTTATTTTATAGATGTTTAAAACATAGAAATAAATAAAGCTTTCATCATGTATAATTTTGTTGCTTTACGTCGATTTATAGCAATATTATCAAAGTTGTGACATTACTTTTGGATCAACCCTCGAAAGTAGGTCAAAATGGGATGGATTTGAGTAATAATATTAAATGATAAATTAAAACGACACAAATAAATTGTAACTCGGTAAAAGACACCTTACATGCAATAAAACTAGTATCCAAAATGGGATTCTTTAAACACAGTCATCTGTGCATTTTCACCATATTCTGTCTTCAGTGTTGTAATGAAGTTGTAAAACTAAAAATTAATGTGACAATATGATTCTCTTTAATCCATGACCATGATACTAGGTTGCTACAATGACACCTTGTTTGGTACTTGCAATTGTAACAACTTTTTAAGAGTTCATATACCATTTGTATAATACACATATATATTACATATAAAAAATGGCTATCAATCTAATATTTTACTAAGGTCATCACAAAAAAATCACAATATTTGTTAACGGACTTTAAAAACATAAAAAGAAACGGACAAGAAGTTGTCAAACAGGATTTTTTTCTTTTTGTATGAAGTATGTGAAAAAAAGAAATATAAATTTGTATCTCAACTGTCCTTCCACTTGAAAATAATCCTAACACAAAGGATGTGTTTGTTGTTTTTCATAGCTTACCTACAGTTAAAGAACACTTCATTTTAAGTGCATAGTTATTTCCATTTTGTACATCATGTTCCCACGGCCTCTACAATGAAGCGTCAACTTTCCTCAATCTTCCCGTTACCATAACGGCTATTACATGTTAGGGGGTATAGAATGTCTTCCTCGCTTCTCATGCACCTACACTGTCTTCAGAAAGAGCGTCTCCAAGACGAGTCTTTTGAATTTCAATGGAGGTGACAAGACACTGAGTTTGTTTTCTTACTTATCTCATACTTGAATAACGCTCCCGATTCGAGTTTCATCGTTATTCTTTCGGAGACAGCTTCCCCCTTTGTTTCTTTGAACGTGTTGTATTGTTATAAATATGTATATAATATGATGCCAGTGACTCTTGAAATTAAAATTAAAATTAAATGTCGTGGGAAAGACTTTTTTGTTTTGTTATTATGATAAAACGGAATTGATTATAAAACGGCGACAAAAAATGAAGATATTTGTCATTGCCAGCCTTTGTAATTTAACTGAAAATAACCGGTATAAGTAACTGTTTCCCACCCTTCCGTGATCTTTGTCTGTTTTATGGAAATCTGTGATGTTTTAAAAATGCGCAAGTTCTTTAAGGACATTGTAATAAAGAGTTTTATTGTGAATTATTTCATCATTTTTTAGAGATCATAAGTTTATTAGAAGATGAAATCCTTCTGAGTCTGTTACAAAAGTGCTTTCTTTATAAATGCAAAATAACAATAAAATCCAATTTTTTGTAAAGCGAAAATAGAGAAATAAAAGTAAAAAGGTCATCATTTTTTGGTGATTTACCATTTAAAGGCTTTATTACAACAAAAGTTTGTCATCTTCAGCGAGAATGTTAATTAATCAGGCATGTCGCGCCGCAGTGGATTTAAGTGGAAAGCTTAACCCCTCAACATGTGAACGACACAAAATTTGCATTTAGAAAGTTATTTAATGAGAAAATTACAGTAATAAAGTTCACCAGACCCATGTGGTCTTCAAATTTAAATCTGGTAAAATTACATTAAATTTCTTAA